GAGAGAGAGAGAGAGAGAGAGAGAGAGAGAGAGAGAGAGAGAGAGAGAGAGAGAGAGAAAGAGAGAGAGAGAAAGGAGAGAGAGACAGAAAGAGAGAGATATGGTGCAGAGAGAGATTCAATGGAAGGAAATTTCAAAGGGCAGTTGCGTGGTGCCATAGTGGATAGAGCACCAGGCCTAGAATCAGGAAGATGAATCTTCCTGAGTTCAAATCCAGCTTTAGAACTTACTAGCTGTGTGATCCTGGGCAAGTCACTTAGCCCTATTTGTCTCAGATTTCTCATCTGTAAAATGAGCTGGAGAAGGATATGGCAAACCACTCCAGTATCTTTGCCGAGAAAGACCCAAAAGGGGTCATAAAGAGTAGGACATGACTGAAAAACAACACTCTCAGAGGAGAAAGGGGTGGGAGGGGGGAGTGGTACCTAGAAAGACCTCTTGCTGAAGGTGGAATTTGAGCTGATTCTCCAAGCAATCCAGGAGAACTAAAAGTAGAGTTGAGGGCACAGAACATTCTTGGCATGGAGGGCATCCAGTGCAAAGACTTGAGCTGGAATATTGTTATTTTCAAGGAACTGCAAGCAGGCTATTATATCTGCATCATAAAGTGCATGGTGGGGAATCAAGTGTCTGAACACTAGAAAGGTAGGGAGGGTCCAGGTTATGAAAAGGTTAAATAGACCTGCTGAGGTAGGTAGTTCAAGGCTTTTTTGCTCTTGGTTTTTGGTCTAGATCTGTGATGTTGATGTAGGAAACTCTGTGTGTGTGTGTGTGTGTGTGTGTGTGTGTGTACTATGAACAGAAATGTTCAGCATAGACTCTCATTGATAAGGGTTGTTTAGCTTTTTTGTTGAATGAATAAATGAACAATATTTTTGTTGTTTTTCTTTTTAAAAGTTTAATATTTTATTTTTCCCCAATTACATGTAAAACAATGTTAACTTTTTTTCAAATTTTGAGTTCCAAATTCTCTCCCTTTCTCCCCTCCTCCCCATTGAAAAGGCAAGCAATTTTACTTAGGTTATACATATGTAGTAATGCAAAATACTTTAAAGAACAATATTTTTGAAAATATTCTGTAAATGCATAGCTGGGTATAGACTTGGTCATTCTCATTTGTGCCTGTTTGTGGCTTTTAGTAATGAAAGGCTCTGGCTCAGTTCCCTCTTCCCACTTCTCTTTCCATCCCCGCATCCACACCCCCATATTCACCTTGAGCAGTTTGTACAGTTGGGAGCCTCCCTCTCGATCATTCTCTAGGCTTTGATGGTCTCCAGAAAGGAAGGCAAGGGTGCTATCAATTCTGCAATGTCTCTGGCTGCAAAATTGAACATCCATGCAAGGGAACTTCCACTGGCTTGCTAATTAACTGCACCACTAATTGAATGACCTTGTTCTCCAATTTGCAGCCCAGAGCTAGAGAGTAACTCTTCTATTCTCTTCTTGCAGTTGCTGGTTGTCCTTGGGGAATGGAGCCATCTGGGCCTTTGTGGCCCCAGCCCTGTTTGTCATCATGGTACGTGATCTCCAGTTGGGGCTACATGAGAGCGATAACAGTTTTTTAAAGATTAAACTTTTCTGATACCTCTTGGTTTTGCGCCACAGTCATTTCCAGATTTATACCATCCCCTCAACCCCTTTAACCCTCTTTCATAACAGAGAAAAACAGTTAAACAAAAACAGCTGATGCAGGGATAGGACTAATAAGTATAAGCAAGCCTAGCACCTGTGGTCCCCCTGCTCTGCATCGGGAGAAAGGAAATGTGTTTCATCATTTCTTCTCCAAGTCAGAAAATGGTCATGACATTTAATCACAGTCTCTGTGCTTTTTGGTGTTGTTGTCATTTACATTATTACGGTCACTTTGGGAGAGGCAGCGAAGCATAGTAGAAAGTCAGCCAGCCTCAAAGTTAAGAAGCCCTGGGTATATAATTCCTGCCTCTGACACATCAGCTGTGTGACCCTGAGCAAGTGACTTCACTTCACAGTTCCCTGATCAGCTCCCTAACTTTATGAGTTATCTATGAGTTGCTGATTTGCACTGGTAGAAAAGTTTCCATAGTGGGAATTCTTTGTAAGACAGTGAGGTGTTGCAGTGGAGAGAGGGCTAGGTCTGGAATCAGGAAGATCTGAGTTCAAATCTGGCCTCTGACACTTACTAGCTCTATGATCCTGGTCAAGTCATTTAATCTCAGTTTGCTTTAGTTTCCTCAACTTTAAAATGGGGATAATATCATCACCTACCTTACAGGGTTATTGTAAATGTCAAATGAGATCATTTTTGTAAAAAGCACCTAGCACAATCCCTGGCACATACTAGGTGCTATATAAATGTTTATTCTACCCCCCCCCCCCCTTTACTATTGACATTACACTGGACTCTTTCCCCCAACCTTGAAAAAATATTCTGTAACATACACTTTTGTCCTGCTTACTTTACTGTATACATTAGTACTTATTCATACAAATTATCTCACATTTCTCTGAATTCCTCATACTTCTCATTGCTTTGGGATCATTGTAACCCATTACATTGATATATCATAATATTTAGCTGTTCTTTAATCAATAGGCACAGAGTGAACACATTTTAAAGATGAGCAAACTGAGTCTCAAGATGATTCAGTGGCTTACCTGGTCATACAATGAAGGCTGAGCCAGAGCTAGCTCTCTGACAAAAAGACAATTGGCAATCCTTGAAGCAGCCCAACTTTAGTCAAAGAGAGGCTTACTTAATGAGTCCAGGTTTTCAGTGAGCAAATTCAACTGCACCTTCTAACAAAACTGCTAGTAATAATAGAGGTAAAGTAGAATAATTAGATTCTAGGCAGGGTTTGCTTTCAGGAAGACTTGGGTTCAAATCCTGGATCTCACTTGCAAAAACTTGGCAAGTCAAGTTTTTGGAGCCTTGGTTTTCTTTTCTGTAGAAATGGGGACAATACTACCTGAAGCACCTGCCTCTATCATGAAGATCAAGAGAGATAATGTTTATAAAGTGGTTTATAAACTTTAAAACATTATGGAAATGTCACCTGTTATCATTAAGAAGTGGTCTAATTGGTATGCTCACCATAGTAGGTACCTTGGAGAGCTCCTTTGCGAGACTCTAACACATTAGGTGACCAATCAATCAATCAACAAACATTTATGAAGCATCTACTATGTGTTGAGTGTTTGGAATATGGATTAAAAAAAATCAATCCCTGTCTTCAAAGAACTTGTAACTTTGTGGGGGGATGGTAAATATGTACATAGGTATGTGCAAGATGCATTCAGAAGTAGATAGAAGATAGAATAGAGATAGAGTAGAGAAGATAGAATAGAGATAGAGATAGAGATAGAGGAGAAGACTCAAGCAGGGGAGGAGGAATATGGGAAGGGAGAGCAGGTACAAACCAGGAAAAGGCCTCTGGCAGAAGCTGAGGTGAGCTAAGGTTTGAAAGAAGTCACAGATTCTGAGTCAAAATGTCCAGAGTACTCTGCTTGGCACTGGGCAAATGCGAGGCTTAGATAAGACCCAGTGCTTGTCCTTAAAGTGCTTATAGTTCAGAAGGGAAGTAAGGAAGTAACACAGTTCACTATAATATACAATATTCCATGGTAAGTACATTGAGGAGAACAAAGCATAGAACAATGTTAAGATGTAGGTAATCATGTTGGGATTCGGTAGATTCAAGGGAGCCTCTAGAAGAGGCATACTTACAGCTGGGCTTCAAAGGCTGGGCAGAAATTCAACCAACAAAGAAGAGCCTTCCTCTCCATATTTAGGGTATAGGGAACAATGCAAAAGCATGGGGGCTAGAGATGCCAGAAGAATGTCCAGTTTGGCTTGGGTATAGAATGCATTGTTAAGATCAATGAGAGAAACTGAACAATAAATATTCATTAAATTAAATTGAACTGGAACAGTATAGATCAATGAATATATCTGGGTTGATTCTAAGAGTCTCTCTCTCTCTCTCTCTCTCTCTCTCTTTTCCCTCCCTCCTCTCTTTCTGTCTCTTTCCCTCACTCTTTCTCCCTCTCTCCCTCTCTTCTTTCTCTCCCTCTATATCTTTCTCTCTGTTTTTCTGTTCCTGTCTCTCTTTCTTCCTCATTCCTTCCTTCTCTCTGTCTTTCTCTGTCTTTGTCTCTGTCTCTTTCTCTCTCTCTCTCTCTCTCCATCACTCTATGTGTCTTGCTTTCTCCCTCTGTCCCTCTCATTATCTGCCTCTTTGTCTCTCCTTCCTTCCTTCTCTCTCTGTCTTTGTCTTTCTTTCTGTCTTGGTCTTTCTCTCTCCATACCTCCCTCTGTCTCTTTGTTTCTGTCTCTGTCTCCCCTCTCTCTGTTTCTCTGTGTATCTCTGTCTCTATGTCTCTGTCTCTCCTTTTCTTAATGAAGCCTCAATTTATTTCTCTGCCCCTGCTTTATTTTTCTTCCCTTTTCACAGAGCTTCTAATCTGTGAGTTGAGCCTAGACAGTGGGGCCCTATCTAGGTATTGATCATAACTTTTCATCTGCCTCTGATGTAGCTGTTGCATGAGCCTGGAGAGCTTCCAAGCACTTTCTTCTTTTTAAGACCTCAAGCCTCCAAAGCCAAGTATCAAGTGCTTCTTTCCAGACCTCCTGTGACCAGAAGCCTCTGTCCCAGCCAGCACTGACATTCAGAAGCTAGGATTAGAGAACATGAAAAGACTTCCCTGGCATATCACATGCTGCTTGCTCAGCAAATGCATTAAAACCAGCTCTTTGATATACCATGGGTGGGTCAAGACCCCAGAAGGATCTTTATAGCTCAGACCAGGGCCTAATTGGGCTGCCAGTGGTTATGCCCTTTGACAAACAGCCTTCCAACTGGATTAGGACACTAACTGGCCAGGACTCCTGTTCTTCCGATGATTAAGGAGACACCCCAATGATGCATCTATCTTTAATTTTCAAATTCTGATGCCTCCTCCAGAAAAGAATCCCCTATTTAAGCTGTGCATTACCAACTGTCTATGATCATGACCATAAATGATTCTTACAGTACTGAGATTAAATCAAACTTTTGCATTTCATTAAATCAAAGCAAAGTCAAGTAGATTTTAAAAAAATAATGGCAGCTTGGAGCCAGATATATTTTAGAAAATCAAGGAATAAGATAACCTGCATCTCTAAAGTATGCACTTCTCCCTCTACCCCTACCCCACATTTGCTCCCCAAATATTAAGTTGGAAGCTAATCTGCCTTTTGTTCAGAGCTGGGCACTACTGACTATGGAACAGACCTATGCAGTTTAATTAGAAATTAAAGCAGAGCAGAAGATGTTTAAACACTTGATTTAGTCTTTCTTAATTAAAATGCTACTAAATGCTCCTGCAGCCATGGGTAGGTACAGCCAGGATCCTCCTTGGCTGATGGGTTTCTAGGAAATAAAGGAAAAAAATGTTGTGGGTTGGTTTTTTTGTCTTCGATTCTCAGAATCTAATTAATATAGGGCTATGCACATACTAGGTGTTTAATAGATATTGGTTGAATTGAATTGACTTGATTTAAGATTTGGGCAGGTGGATACAGCTCTGGACCTGGAGCTGGGAAGACTTATCTTCCTGAGTTCAAATATAGCTTCAGGCACTTACTAGCTATGTGTCCCTGGACAAGTCACTTAATCCTATTTGCCTCAGTTTCCTCATCTGTCAAATGAACTGGAGAAGGAAATGGCAAACCACTCCAGTATCTTTGCCAAGAAAACCCCAATGTAAGGTCATGAAGACTTGGATATGATTGAAACGACTGAACAATAACAACAACAACCACAGCAAGATCTGGGTGTAGAGTAGGAGAATTTGGGTTCAAATCTCATTTCTTCCACTTACTACCTGGTTGAATCTAGGCAATAACTAACATTTAAAAAGTACATTGAAAGTTTGCAAACCACTTTACATATGTTATCTCTTTTATCCTCAAAACAATACTGGAAGGGAGGTACTTTTACTAAGCACATTTTGCAAATGAGGAAACTGAGGCCCAGAGATTGAGATGCCCAAGGTCACATAGCTGGTAACCATCTTATAACTTAGGTTTTGCTGCCTTCAAGTCCAGCACTTTGCAACTGTGCCACCTTTGATTTTCCCTTCATCTGTAAAATGAAGAGAGTTGAACTAAATGCCCTGTAAAGTTTCATCCAGCTCTAAATCTCTGAGCTTTGATCTAAATGTTTGATTTATGGTTAGAGGACAGGGGTTCAAACTATAGATCTGCCATTTACCACTGTGTAACCTGCATCCATCTGAGTGACCTTGGGCAAGTCACTTAACCTCTACAGTCTTTGGTTTCCCCATATGTAAAATGAGGGGGGTGGATTAGATATAATAAATTCCTCTATTTAGCATTTAAAGCCCCTTATAATCTGGTCCCAACCTGCCTTTTCAGCCTCATTATGTATTTTCACCCTCCTTTACTCTGTGGTTCAGCCAGACTAAACTTGTTATTCCTAACACATACCTCTCCATATCTTATCTCCCTGCCTTTGCACTGGTTGTCCCATGCCCAGG